TATAAGATAATCATCTTTTGGCCAAATCCTAAGGCAGAATCACATGCGTCTTTCACAGAGAATGCAATCCCATGATGCATTGCAAAATCCTCAGTGAAATAATCCATATAGTTCTGAAAATGATCAAACGAAATAGTTTCCTGGAATTAAAAACGGATTATTTCACACAATATTTGTGTGTGCACATTTATGTTTATTCGAGTATCACGTTTGGCAATATGCTAACGACAAACTGAATCGATCGTGAGTTTGTACAGTTGAGCGGTGCTGTATTTATGAGGCATGTGTTCGCTGTCGATGTGTAGTGCATCCGAACCAGTCACTTATGAGTGTCCGTTTCATTCAGGATGCTGTCTATGTAGACTGAGATCCAGCTCGCTGTGTTTTAGATCAGAGTCCAGACGGACAGACAGTGAATCAGAGCAGGGCCGTTGAGCAGCCGGGCTGTCTCACTTATATGTGCGGTGTTAGACGCTGTTACTGAGAATCCCCACCAGACCTATTAACCACCTTAACCAGCAGCTCCAGCAACTAGACCAGCACTAACCTACAGAAACCATCCAGATCCGGCGTTTGAGTTCCTGCAGGTCTCAGCCGCTCTCGACTGGGTTTCACTGTATCTGAGTGCGGGAGAACGAGATGCAGAACCTCAGAGGAGAGACAGAACTTAGAGTAGTGAGACGGCACCCGACAGACAGACGGCAGATTCACAGGAGATCAACAGCTGACGGCTCGCCGTAATTAATGACGAACTGTCACGATGTTTGAATGGCATTTAGTTCAGATGTCACGTGAGACTCCACGGGTCCCCGTTGTGTGTGTGAGGTTCAGACCCCACTGTTCCCACGGCGATAAGGGCCGAAACAAAAGACTGATGCCGAAGACTAGATATATAAAGACGGTGCACTCGGATTACTATGATTGGGAGGAAGTGCGACGCGTAATATGGCAGAATAAGTCCCGCCTTCTAAGTAAAAGAGCCAATCGCCAACTGGTAAAGTCATGATGTCACTGCAGGTGCTGTTAGAAGCTCCGGTCGCTATAGAAACAGTCGGTGTTCTGAGACGAACGCTTGTGACTGCGCATGCGCATCGGCTGATCCAGCCTGGAAAATGCAGTTTTTGTCATGATTTGAGCGTTTAGAAATAACATTTAAGACAATTTAGAAATTCAAATTATGAAGTTTAATCCTAAGCTTGGTGAAAAGCTTCGGAGAATTTGATGTTTCCGCAGTCTAAGAGAGAGGAGCTGCACTTGCGGGACTGAAACAGCTTCTCGAGAGGCGTTTCAAAGATAGCCGTCAGTGAAACAGACTTTGCTGATGCAGAACACTGAACTGCTACAACAGCACAACATGTTTCCATATTTACTGTACGTTCATCAGCTGACCCTCTGTAAATATCAGTAACTCTGTGTGTGTGTGTGTGTGTGTGTGTGCACGTGTGCGTGTGTGTGTGCACATATTGTACGACTATTTGTACAGAAAACTAATATACAATGTCATATTTAGTTAGAAGCTGAATTATTAGTGGTGCTTGCCAAAGACAAGGCATCACTATTGTTATTGCTCATGCTTATTCTTTTCTCGGGGTGTGATGTTCCCCCAGGGGTGAAAAAGTGGCCGAAAAAATCCCATGAACCCTAAAAACTTTGACGTGTCAGAGCTCTGAGCGAGCATTTCACAGACAGTACGTTTACCACAGTTGAAGAGGCTGGCAGGCTCTGTAAGAACATACCTCACAATGGGGTAAAAGTGGTACCCCTGGGGCGCACGAGTTGCCCAAATTTGCCCCATAGACATACTATGGCAAAGGACGGCCCATGAAACACATGCATGTTTCCTACTATGGTAAATTGCATAGGGATTTTGTATTGAACATAACTCTGGATCACAGTGTCATAGAGACAAGGGGGTGGGCTCATTTTACTCAGACAAATCAGTCTTTCAGGGTCATTGTGACACTATCAAGCCTCACCCTAGCAACCATTTAGGGCACCATAGCAACAAGTTCCATAGACTTCCATTGAAAGAGGTCAGAGGGATATCTTTGGATAGAAGTGTCATAGAAACACAAGGGTGGTCTCGATTGACTCAGGCAGCAAACAGCCAATCATGAATCACCTCAATACATCCCAAGCAACCATTGTTGAGCACCTAAGCAACCAAAATCTAAAGAGGGATATCTTCTATTCTGAATGTCACGGGAGTTAGTTTATATCATTCATAGTGACAAGCAGCCTTTGGGGTTTCATCATTGGCAGCTCACAAGCAACTCCATAGCAACCAAACAGAGTACCATAGCAACCATTTGGCAAGACCTATATCTCTGCATCAGAACATCATATAGAAATAGGGGTTGACTCTTTTGACTAAATCATGGTAAATCACGCTAGAATGTGTTAAATTGTGGTACATCATTCTAGAAACATGGTAAATCATACTAGGACGTGCCGTGGTATATTATAGTAAATCATACAAGTACAGAGTAAATCACGGCAAATCTAGAACATTGTAAATCATGGTAAACTATAGTAAATAATGCTAGAATCATGGTGAATCATACTGGAAAGTGGTAAATCATGAGTAAGCTAGAAACATGGTAAATCGTGGTAAACTATACTAAAACATGGTAACTATAGTAAATCAAACTGCTAAATCATGGTAAACCATGCTAGCAATGTAGTAAATTGTGTTAGCATCATGCCAAAATCATGTTAGCATCTTGCTAAAAATATTTTATCAACATGCTAGTCATGTTAAAGTCCCCGTGAAATCAAAATTGAACCTATTTACTTTGTTAGCGCATATTACTAGTCTTGTGGTGAACAATTAATCCGTGCAAGTAAATATATATTAAAAAAATGTTTTACCTTGGTAATCTTTAATCAAAATCTGAAAAGTTACTTCCGGTCTGGAACGGTTTCTTTTTCTGATGAGGTAGGTTTCACAACTTGGGTGGGGAAACGCTTAACCACTCCCCTCAAACCGTTAGTTTGCTATGAGCGAGAGATGGAGAGGAGGAGCGCTAGAGTAAAACCCTGCCCTCTGTTCAATATTCCGTTTTACTTGGAAATACGTCACAGCACTGGAGAAAAATCGTTTGCAACTTCCGGTTCACGGGGACTTTAACATAAAGCTAGCAACATGCTAATTGTGTTAGCATCTTGCTAAAAACATGCTAACCAGTTTTGAGTTTTGCCACAAGCGCCATTTACAATTTCTTGTAAAGTACTTTCTAGTTTAATATTTTAATAGTTTTAGTTTTTGCTGAGCAAAAACAGTTTCTAAAATGCTTTTGGTTTTTTGAGCAGAAACCATAACAAACCAATTTAACTCAAATTAATTAATAAAATGTAAATGAATAATAATTGATTATATTTGTTTATACAGTTATTTTGATAAAAATACTAAAATACATAATGATTAAATAAAATATAATTAATAATACAGGAATTAATATAGAGGCCATTACAGTTATTTTTGTGTTGAATAGCAGTGTCTTAGCAAAACCCTGGTAACCACAAATAATTTGCTTGTTACCGCATAGCAACACCCAGGAAAACGTCTGGCACAGTGCCATATATTGAGAGAGTTGCGACACGCTTTGATGTTGCCGCAAGGCTGTCTCGTGGTTCATGGAAGCCCCAATAGTTCCAAAACAGACGCGTGCTGTCATGTTCTTCAATGGACAGACAACAGCGATCGCATTATTAAACGGTAAATTTAAAATAAAACACACATCCAAGTACTTTTTAAGCTGTTATTGCATTTGGTTAATGTCAGTGTTGCATTTGGAGAGGCAGGGTGACAAGATACGTTTTAGGCTATATTTTTGGAGGGAAAAGCCTAGTGTTCATGTTCGCATTGCTAGTTGCACTGGCTTTAGCGGCTGAATGTCTATGAATCTATGAATATGATGATTGTCTCATGATATTTATTTTAGCACAACTGGGCTGTATTAGGTTATTGATTCCCGTGATCTTGCTTATAAATTCCGATTCAGCCATTAGCCTACCGTGATCACTCAAAGAGATCTGCCGTGATAACGGGATAATGGTTTAGGGTTATGACTTAGGGTTTAGGTCATAATCCTAAACCATTTAAATAAATTAATTGTGTGTGTGTGTATGTATATCTCATAGTATATATAGGCTATATATATATATATATATATATATATATATGTGTGTGTGTGTGTGTGTGTATATATATATATAAATCATATTATATATATATATATATATATATATATATATATATTTAATAAATATATATAATGTTATATACATCAGGTTACCATAAGTTAGCTGACAACGTTAGTGAAGTGTTGGTCACGTAAGCTATCGCTGCAATTAACCTATTATCTTCTGATAAACATTTACCAGATCTGGCTACATAACATATAACTACAGACTAGATTCACGAGAGGTCGGCTAATGTGTGTAAAAGTAAAAAATACAGTAATTTCATTCATTTACCAGCGAGCGTACTTCGGAAGCACTGAAAATAAATGGGGTTCAATGTTGGAACTATCAGTGTTTGGAACTATTGGCAGCTCCACGACACGCATTACTTCCCCATTCCTAAGTTCCTATGGCAGTCTATGGGAGTGTCGTAACTCTCTCAATATATGGCTCTGATTTTGGGGCAGGTTTACACCTGGCCACTTCATGCATTTTCTCAGATCGGATAGCTATCTGATGTGATTTCAAAACAGATACAAATTTCATGTGTAGGCTATACTATATATCTGTACTATATAACATAATTATGTACATATTGGTCTATTCAGTTATTTTGAATCATAGAATCTTTTTGTATCCACAGTATCAACCAGTTCAGTCCAGTTCAGTCCAATTTGTCCCTACATAAATACTCAATTTTAGTAGGATGCTTGTTTGTTTTCTTAAAAGAAAATGTGGGAACAAATCTGCACAAGTCTTATGCGTGTATTAGAGGAAAGCAGAAATAGTAATTGTGATATGTTTTCTGTGTTCAGGTGTTCACACGTTCCAGTTCATGTACGGCTGTGAGCTGGATGATGACAGCACTCGAGTACACTGGCAGTATGGCTATGATGGAGAAGACTTCATCAGCTTTGATAAGGACACCCTCATCTGGACTGCTGCTAAACCTCAAGCTTTCATTACCAAGACAAAATGGGATGAAGACAAAGCTAATAATAAATATCAGAAATCATATCTGGAAACTGAATGCATTGAGTGGCTGAAGAAGTATGTGGGCTATGGCAAGGACACTCTAGAGAGAAAAGGTAGAAATTTCAGTTTTTACTTTGGAGGCACTGAAACAAATATGCTTCTAAACCTTTTACATACATCTCATTTACTCGCTGTATAGAAATTCAAAAAAGTTGTTTACCTTTCTTGGGTGAAAGAAATGAAAAGAGAACAGGATATGAAAATGCCATACATGCCAAATTTAATGAATTATTTTTTGCACTATGATAAAGCTATTTATCAGAAGAGCTACAACAATGGGCAATGACAAAAAATGAGGGAATGAGTAAAATTATGCTCAATACGCACAATCCCTCGCCAGAATTCAAGCCCTGTACCACCAAACATATTCATGCGGAGCAAATAAAACAAGTGAGTTATGGGTTGGTGTGTCAACTCACTGACGTAGAGATTAGAGAGCGAGAACACGCAGCTGGTATCTTTTGTATCTATTCTGCGGTAGAGTTTCAGAAATTTCAGTATCCATATGTATCGAAAAATCAATATTAATGTCGCAACACTAGATTACACTTAGTTTATTATTTCAGATGCCTTTTTAAAAGACAACAATTGAAAAATGTATATTATATAAAATTCCTCCGATCAAAGTTGCTAGTAGGAGTGACTTTGTTACACGTCACTGCTGAAATCCACCCACATTTGGCGAGTGTTAATGTCAAGCCCTGCTGTAAACAACTGTTTGATTGATAAAAAACTTTACACAGGTTAGATTTCCTAAAATTTTATTTCTGTAAGATTTTGTAATAGTTCTCATTTGCAATTACAGAATTGTATTTAATTTGTGTTTACAAAAGAATTAGAATGACCAATTATTTTTAATATAAAAATGCATCAGGAAAATAATTTTCATGTTTGTGAGATCTTGGTCTCATCTTTCCCATTCTCATTGTTGCCCTCACCCAAACCTTTTGTAGATGCCCCTAAGGTGTTTCTGCTGCAGAAGGACCCCTCCTCTCCAGTTTTATGTCAAGCTACAGGTTTTTACCCCAGCAATATAATGATGACCTGGCAGAAAAATGAAGAGGACCATTATGAGGATGTAGCGGTTGGTACAACTTTACCAAACATAGATGGAACTTTCCAGAAGACCATCACCCTGAAGCATGAGGACTGGAAGAATGACAAAGAGGCCTACAGATGTGTGGTTCAGCATGTGGGAGCAGCGAAAGACATCATTGTCACTGTGCATGATATCCGGTCCAACACAGGTATGTGCGTAAAAGATTAATTTAAAAAAATATATAGTTTGAAAACAAGAATTTTGGAGCATTATTTGGAGTGTTGGGAAGGTTCACTTTCTACATGAACTAGTTCAAAGTTCAGTTCACACATTTTAAAATGAACTAGTTCAGTTCATAGTTCATAATTAAAAAAATAAACTAGTTCATAGTTCTTTTTTTCCATATGTTCGAGCTTTTTTATTTTATTTTGTATTATTCCCACAGCCCATATACAACTACAGACATCAATTTTATCGACAAGCAAAGTTTGCACAGAAATGTCAGATTTTTCCCATCTTCAGATTTTTCCCATTGTGTGTTTTTTCGCTATATATTAAGGCCTGTTTACGTGTGTTTTGGCCGGGTTTTCGCCTGGAAGGCTCTATAGAAATCTGGCACCCTATTGAACAAAGTCAAACTGAGAGAGCGTGTGTTCACAGACACCAGATACCAGACAACGAGTTCACAGTAACGTTCATCAGGCAGTAATACAGTACGTTCAGTTCACGTTCACCCAAAATATGAACGAGTTCAATGAACGATAGTTCACAATAGTTCATGAAACCAGAACTATCTGGTGTCTGGTGTTTAGGCACAACACTGATTATTTGTTTTTCAAGACTAATTTATTTAATGTCTAACTCATTTGGCAAGTTTAACATATAGTTACTACTATTTGATTGCAGGTTCTGACTATACCATTGCTATAGTTGTGGGTTGCCTGGTGGGTGTTGCTGTCCTAGCTGCCATAGTTGGACTCGTGTTTTGGAAGAAATCCAATGGTACGTACTTATTTTTTCAAGGGAACCTAAATTGAAAATCTTTATGCCTAATAGCAAAGTGGTACCTGTTATCACAATATTAATCAAATTCTGTTTATCTGCAGGCTATGGGAGGACAAGCAGTAAGTATTGCATGTCTTCTTTTGAATTATCCTGCCGCGTTTACAATTGGGTATTAACATGTGATATTTTTAGCAGATTGTATAATCAGCCAATCAAACATAATAATAATAGTCGGTGGGGTTTAGTGTGACGTGGAACCTGTGGATATATATATTGCACTGTGATCCAATGAAAAAGCACCCTTAACTATCTCGGGGCCAGGACATGGCAGATCAGATAACACTCCAATCAATCACAAGCACATTCACACATTTGTCTTCAATATATGTGGTCAAAATGGTCAGAAGTCACATGTTAATGCCAAATGTAAACATAGCCATAGATTTTTTGCATTTTGATCTCTTGAGAAACATTTTTTTCAAAAGGAAGACATGTCTTATAATGTTACCCCTTTTGTCTTTTAGCCAAAGATTCTGATTCTGAAAACTCAGCCCAGCCACTGCCACAACTAACTACCAAGTAGAGGGATTTGGGGTAAGTGGATTTTACTTTGCACATTTTCAAATTTTTGGGAGAGATTGTATATCACTGTACTAACCTGTGTAATGTTTATTTTTGTAGGTATCTGTGTCTTATCACTGTAAATTTCCTTTGAGAGATCATTAAATGAAAAATTGCAGTCTTGGCACAAAGGAGTTCTAAAATGAGGACATGGAATGTGGAATGTTTAAGTCTTTGGTATAATTATTCTTCCACAAATTCATTACACATCTTCTGTTTTTGTTTTGTTTCGGATTATTTCTATTGTTTACCAGCCTTTTGAACCCTGTTAAAATCATAACAAAACTTATTATACACATAATGTGATTAAATAATATAAGGAGGAGCTATTATTTCACTTTCATTCATAATGGCTTAATAATAACAGAAATATTCTCAACCTTTAAATGTGTATGCTGTAGGACAGCCTAATTATTGGTTTCAATAATGAAATTAAATTATTTTAATAAGGTTTAACAGCAAAATCTTTTAGTACTGCTGCATAAATGTGATGCTTTAGCTATGGAAAAGCACCTTTCCACTGACCCTTTTCACGCTGTATATGCTTTTTTCTGCTTTAATAAATGTAATTGCTTTTCATTATCATTTAAATAGATTGATAAGTTAAGAGTAAGAGTTGGTGATGGTTTTTTAACAGTTTAGTTAATTTTATGATGTATGATCTTAAATATAAAAAAGCCTTTATGCACCACATTTTCATGTTACTATTATGCCTTTTAGTTATAAAAAGTTATTTTAAGGGGTAAATGTAATAAGTTTCCTCAATGGTTTGTTAATGTTGACATTGATTTTTTTTTTTTAAATTCCAAATTGAATAAAATGTGTAGTCTCAGCGTCTATTCAATAAATAAATAGTGACAATGTCTTTGTTCTGTTGTGGAAAATTTATGTTTTGGGAAATGGTCTTCTCTTTCTAACACTTGCAAAAGAAGCACAGGAGTCAGAGTTCCAAAAATCAGAAGTAGACTTTATTGAACAAAGAGACAAAGCTTTGGCCAAGGTCAAGGAGCAAATATTATATCTTGTTCTTATCTGTTATTTAGCAATCAGCTCTTCCCAGATGCAAGACACCTCCACGTTTCACCTCTTAAAAATGGTCTTATTCTTCATCATCATCTGGTGCTTAACAGAAAATCCACAACTATTCAAAACACTGCTCAGTGGCTGCACAGACTTCTCACCTAGACCTTTGTAGTTACATTCACATTGGCCATAAGGTCTTAGAAACACATCTGGCTTTTATTGTATTCAAACTAATTCTACAATTGTTTTTTAGATAAAATATTTCAACAGTTCTTGTTTAGATGTATCTCTGGTTGATACCCTGTGATCACTTGAGTTGCAGGGAGGAGATATAAAAATCCACATTTGCATTAGGCTGAGGCAAAATATAAGCAAATTATACATTTCCTTCCAATCCTTTGTACTGGACACTGAATAAAATCATGAGCATGAGTACTCATGAGCCTTTTGAAATTAGCTCAACACTTAAAAGTTTTTCTTACATAGCTACAGCCACAGCCTTTGAGGAAATTGCAAATGAAAACTGCATCTCAGAAGAGGATGATTAAACAATTCCCCAAAAAGCATTAGCACTTATTGCGAACCAGTTTGGCTTTGTTTCTTTCATGTACAAAGTTCTTATTTACATAACTTTTCCAACATAAGTTTTACGAAAATAAATAAAAAAATCTAAATAAAACTATATATAATTTTTTTTATATATTTCATGTTTACCTGCATGTCATGACAATTAACTGACATCAAAGAACCATTAATTTAAAGGTGCTGTTTGTGATTTTATTTTATTTTAAAGTACTAAAGCATAAAAATAGCATAATAAGTTTGCACATATTTAGGAAACATGCTAAGTTCACAGAAAAACAATGCTACAGCCAGTTATTCTACTTTAAAATCTGCGTTCCCTGTTGGAGTGTCTGTTTTTGCTTTGGCCTGTTTGATCCCGCCCAATGCCAGTTTACCTTATAGTATTTTGACAATCAATGAATTATGAATAATCCGCTTGAATAATTGTGTAACTAACATGAAATCAATAAAAAAACTAACTGTAGTCTTATTATGAGTTAAAATGTAGCATAATTACAAGTTCTTACATTTTGGATTCTGTGTAATCAGTTAACCAGCACAGCCTTTTGCAATGGTTTGTTTTGAGTTTGAATAATTTAAATTAATTTTTGAGTATTGTGAATTTAGAGTGATTTAATACTAGTTTGGTAACCTCTATAAAGTGGTTGTAATTTTTATCCAATCAAAAATGATTAACTTAAATTCAATTAAATGCAATAAAGACTATTATGTTGAACATACAAGACTATGATGTTCAACTATGATTTGTTATGAAATATTGATCAGAATCACTTGATTTATTCACTTTAGAATTGCAGGAGACGTTGTAGAAATTTGAGTAGAATGACACATTTGGTTGCACACTGATCATGTGACAGTAAGTAAGATTCATGCAGCAAAATTTGTAGGCTAGTACTTTGCCATTTCTATTTGTGAGAGCATGCAAACCCACACATCAGTGAAACAAAAAAGAATTATTCACTTTTCACCTTAGTTAAAGTGTGGGAAAAAAAGTAATTTCCATCAAAGGATCCAAAGGAAAAATTGTCGTTTTATGTGCTTTCTCTTCAATCTAAAAATGCCATCATGATCTCAAACATTTCTGTTCACTTAGAGACTGAAAATAAACTTCCAGATGCTTTTATTGATTGATCAAACTAAAAAAAACTTATGTTGTAAGTATTTCACACAGTATTTCATGGACACTATATTATTGTCGACACATTTTCATAAAATTGCCTTAAACAAGCAAAAACAAATTTAAGGGAACTGTGAAATATACCACAAGTAATTATATTTTATATGTGTATGCCTCACATAAGTAACATTTTTTATAATGATATATCAACACTGATTAACCAAACCATTAGACCAACATCTATAGTACTGATTTACCCAAAAATAAATGTAATCTTGTAAAAACTAAATCACATGAAAACACACCTATAAGGCAGGTAGCCTGTTTCAGCGCATTCTCACCCCCAAGGCGTCACCTAACTGACATTACATTACAGCACAAATGCTTTTTTAAAGAATAGCAGCAGTGTATTTCTCCTGACTCAACTCTGGTTCGTGGCTGGTCTTCATGCGAGTGGTCCGTTACTCCAAGCCCGACGCCCCCTTACTGAGTGGAGCGTTTGTGTTTCTGGCACTTGCAGTCATATATGTAAGTATCGATAATGAGAAAGAATTTGCAAACAGAACTTTCAATTTAAGTTTAAAACTGTAAATGATTTTCTTCTTTTTGTATTTTAAAGGTGATATGTGCATCCCATATTACACGGGAAAAGTCATAGACATCCTGGAAGAACATTACCATCCAAACAGCTTCATGTCAGCCATCTTAATCATGGGTCTTCTCTCACTGGGCAGGTATGAATGTTATTCAAAAAGTAATCTGTGAGCAATCACAGTTTATGATTGTGTCAATAGGTTGTCTAAAACATCATATGTGTTGGAAGATAAGCTAAATTAATATGTGAATATTGTCTTGATAGCTCTTTGTCCTCTGGGTTGCGTGGAGGTCTCTTCATGTGCACTTTGTCCAGACTGAATAAGAGAGTTCGTCTTATGCTCTTTAATTCTTTGGTCAAACAGGAGATAGGATTTTTTGAAGATAAAAAGACAGATTAATTAGTTGCTTAATAGGTAAAGCTTTTATGTACATGCAAAGAACACATTTGAAGGGTTTCGTGTTCAATTATTGTCTCAAACTGTTTTTTATCTGTTGACAGGGGATTTGACATCACGTCTGTCTGTCAACACCAAGTTAATGAGCCAATCAGTGGCAATGAATGTGAACATCCTTCTGCGCAGCTTAATTAAAAGTGTTGGCATCCTGTATCTGATGGTCAGCCTGTCCTGGAAACTCACGCTGGTCACTTTCATCGAAGCCCCGCTGATTGCCATCACGCAAAAGATTTACAACACACACTATGAGGTCAGTTTAACTGATTTAGGTATTTAAAAGTAACTCAGTGAAAATGACAGTAATTATAAAGCACATTTTAGATCACCACTGAAGTTGATGTAATCTGATATAAAAATGGAAGATTAAGTTTAGGCATCTCATTTTGAATTTTGACCTCTTTTTCCCCAAGCTTGCTTCATTAACATTTCACATTGTGGTCCCTTCACCCTTATTTTGATTAATATATCCTGCTTTGTATATCTGTTTCTTTTCATTTCTGATTTTTTTTAATGTTTACACTGAACCAAAACCATCTCGCTGTGCAGCAATTATCAAAAGAAGTTCAGGACTCGGTGGCCAGAGCCAATGAGACAGCAGGAGAAGCGGTTGCCGGGGTGAGAACTGTACGCAGTTTCTGCATGGAACCCAGTGAAGCCCGTCGTTATGACGACCGATTGACTGACACTCACAATCTGAAGACTCGACGAGATACAGTGAGGGCCATCTACCTATTAGTGCGACGGATGGGTCTGCTGCACAATTCTATCCTTATATAATTCAATTTTAATATAGAAAATGTATTTAAAATATTTAATTAAATATTAAATATTTATTAGAATATAAAATAGTTAACATATAGTAAAATACAATGTAATCATTGCAAAATATTTAAATATAAGTACAGTAGGTTAAATCTGCAATACGTTAAGTCAAATATATCACATACTAATCATAGTTAACACTCTGCTCAACATTAAACTTTTCTAAAAGCTGTAAACATTAATAGATTTTTCTTTGCATCATCAGTCATATAGTATTAGGTTTTATTGTCAGGTATATTGGAGTTTCACTGATTCTTTGGTTACAGTTTTTTTTTATTCGCTTTGGTACTATTTTCACAAGTAAGGTGTACATTTTCAAAACTCTTAGTGCTAATATCACAACATATCATCAAAAGTGCACTTTTTTCAAACATTTCATCATGTTTTCAACTGTTAGTACAATTCACACAATCACAAAGTATCCTTTTTACAACACAAAATAAGTGTTTCATCTACATTATTGTTTCATTCACAGTAACTGCCTTTCATAAAGCTCTGACTATCAAACTTTTGATTTGCATCTCTTTTTGTTCAGTTTAATACTTTTGTCTATTATTTAATCCAACTGACCTTAATGGTTAATCAATTAATCATTTGCTAAACCATAGATTTTCATTTCAGCAATATACAGTATATGGATTTTGAGAACTACAGAAATAAAATGTGTGTTTGTATGAATATTTAGATGTAAATTACATGTAACCACACATGATGAATACTCGTTATAGCTACAGTAATTGATTTCACATAGTGGTAACCACAATTGGCCACTATATGCAGTAATGTGTGCACTAAATGTTATGTTTTGTTCTTACTGTATTTACGTAGTTACATTTCATTATAGAAAGTATACCTATGTTACAATTTTATCTGAAAAATAAAAACTATAATTTGCCTAAATGATTGTAGAGGATGTCTTCATTGATCCTTCACTTGATTAGGCCGACATATATGATGGATATTTGGAAATTATAGATTATGTAAATGTTGGGTACTGTAAGTGTATTGCCTAATGTTACAGTAAAACTGTAATCTGTCTTTTATAGTACTGTAGCATATTCATTTCAGCACTTCTAAGGCCGATTTGAAACATGTATCTTGCATTGTTTGCTGTTGGATGAACTGATTGTTAAAAGTACTAAACTGAAAGAAGATCATATTGTTGTGTTTCAGTGATTAAACCAAATGTTCTCATTACATATTACAATAATCTTGTGTTTGAAATAATGATTATGTGGACTGAAAACATGTGCAACTGACTGAAAGCATTACATCAGGTTTTGAAAGAATGACTAGCTGCGTTACAAGTGTGATCTGTTTGGATTTTTGTACTAAGAGTTTTGAAAATGTACACCTTAGTACCAAAGCGAATGAAAAAAACTGTAACTAAATTTGTATAAAATGATATTTCCAATATGGAAATTGTGTATGGAAATATATACCACAATTTCCATATTGGATATATATATATAATATGTTGTATATACCCTGGATGGTTTTATTTTTACTATCATCAGATACTAAGAATAGAGAAAGTGAAGTGAATTAAGGTGTCAGAAACTGCAGAAACGAATAGTGTATAATAGCAGTGTTAAATGTGATCCTTAATCTTATTAATTATTAATTTGCTCAATTACATCATGTACATAAATTACTTAAATAATGTATATATATATATATATATATATATATATATATATATATATATATATATATACTGTATATATATATACATCCAGACAAAAACTCAAATTTTACTGTAAGGCCAATTCACACTTGGCCTTACAGTAACGGACAGACCGGTTTTGTCAGTGTGTTACCTTTTGGAGTCTGTCAGAGTTTGTTTTCAGCAATTGAAATTGGAATTAGAATATCTGAGAAGTGCTGTAATCAGGTGACTGTTGCGTTTGTCTATGTCTGCCGGTGCAGTGTAAAATGACCTTTAGTTAAAATTTCATCCATAATATTATAAATCCCAATAGAAATCTGGCACTATTTTTTAATATTTTGTACAAAACAATCAGTTGTGCAATCAGTGAACTCTCTTTTTCTGTCTTTCCACAGTCTCTTGTCTACATGTATTCTAACATGCTAAACTCCGTGGGTGCGGCTGCTAAAGTTTTTGAGTACCTGGACAGAAAGCCACTGGTGGGCATTGATGGAAGTCTTCATCCTGAAACCTTGACTGGCAAAGTCCACTTCAACAACCTCACCTTCTTCTACCCAAATCGACCTGATCAACCAGCCCTCAAGGTACAGTATTCCGTGCATATTATATTTTAAACAATATATACAAAATATATTATCTGGATTAGATTAATCTAACCACAGTTAGATAAATAGTTTACTCTAACAAAAAAATAAATGTATTTGTAGATTGTATACAAATTATATATATTTGTTTTTAATTAATATGCTGTTTGTTTGATTGATTGATTGATTGATTGATTGATTGATTGATTGATTGATTGATTGATTGATTGATTGATTAATTGTTTTCAGAACTTCTCTCTGGAGTTGAAGCCGGGTCAGATGACGGTTCTGGTTCTGGTCGATATTCACAGACCGCTGAACAACACCAACGAATAGAAGCGTCTACCGGAAGTGTTGGCATAATCACGCGAGTCGAACATGAGTAGCTTACGTCGGTGGTCCAAAGTGTGGCTTCACTTTTCTAAAAATAACGAAAATCTCGGCAAAATGCAAAATTTGTGACAAAAGGAGTATTTTTACAGAAGGAGTATTTCCTTCAGAAAGGATTATTTCCTTCAGAAAGGCCTTAGGTTAGCAAGGTTAGCTAAACTTTTTTGACCCTGCCTCTTAAAAGAATCGGAATCGAGAATCGAACCGGAATCGAAACAAGGAATCGCAATCGGAATCAGAATCGTTCAAATTCAAACGATACCCAACCCTAGTCAGGACCCTGTGCTTTTTTCTGGCTCCATCAGGGACAACATAGCTTACGGTCTGACTGATTGTGATCAGAAAAAGGTAGAGGATGCAGCCAAAGATGCCAATGCCCATGATTTCATCAGTCGACTAGAAAAGAGATATGACACAGGTACAGCTAAAGAATCATTCTTCCATTTATGCATGCTAATAAATGCATTGCAGTTACTATTTGACTCTCTGGAAATTATATTTTAAAATGTAGAGTGTTTACCATACCATATCTCTTATTTATTTGGCAGATACTACTTCAGTTGTTAGGACCTTTGATTAAATGTGTGTATGGGTATTATGTGCATTAGATGTTGGAGAGCGTGGTTGTCTTCTCTCTGGGGGTCAGAAGCAGCGCATTGCTATCGCCAGAGCTCTAATCAGACAACCTCAGGTGCTCATACTGGATGAGGTCACCAGCAGCCTGGACACTGAGAGCGAACGCATGGTACAGTTTTCATCACCTCTATACTTTATTTCAGAACAACCTCTGGTGAATCTGTTGTATTACTGAAAAATAAGCCCATTGATGCTTATCTCAACAACTTTTTTTATACCACGTTGCTTTATTTCATTAATAGGTTCAGGATGCTCTGGCCCGTCATCCCAACCAGACCTTGCTAGTGATTGCACATAGGCTGAAAACAATTGAAAGGGCAGACCAGATCATTCTGATTGACAAAGGGGAGGTTGTGGAGCAAGGGACACACCAGGAACTGATGGAGAAGAAAGGCAGTTACTATAAACTGAGAGAGAGGCTCTTCACTGAAGAAAAAGAAGTAGACGAGGAGGAGGTCAAACACGAATGACTTGCTTATTATAAGCTTTTACAAAGAATACATTAATATTTATAATAACAGGCAGCAAATTCACAATGAAACAGAGTTCGTTTCCTTTTAAAATAGCATTGCATTCATTAAACATTTAACTTTTCGTTAGCTAACCGTTTGTATTTTTTCCACTTTGAATAAACTTTCAACGTTAAACATTGTCAATTAATGCACTCTTGTTTGACAGTCTTAGAAAACAGCAAAAGCAGTGAAATATAAAATTGATTTGGATATTGTTAAGATACTACTTACTGTGTGAATATACACCTTTATTTGTGTTTCACCAACATGTTTTTGTGAAATGTTTTCATTTTCCTTTGAACAATTATCTGCAAGGTGCTTAAAGAGGTCTAAAATATTAAAGATGAACATTGCACAACGATTAAAAGAGAAAACATTTTTATTGATAATCCATACAAATGCATCAGACATCATTTTTGTTCACACTTTTGCTGCCTTGGATGGCTCCATTACATCTGGATCATAAAATGTAGGTAGTTGGTTTCCGAGAACACATTTCTCTTCCACGCCTTCGCTGTCAATGGTAACAAGGTAGGCCACACCCCCGCTGGAACCGTCTCGGCTCATTGCCAGTGACAGACCTTGAAGTTCAAGGCACATTGTAAATTAGAAAAGATTCACAATCCAAATACTGCACATAATATAATTTTGGAAAGAATTTGAAAAAAAAAAGGTTGACTTTTCACACAATGACATTCATGATAATAGGCACAGTATTTTAAGTAGGTCTAACCTAAGTGGAGCCTTTATACAATAAATTGCTCTGGTAAAACAATTAAGAAATATGACTCTTGAAATCTAACTAAAGAAAGAAAACCAATTTATATGTGACGCACTGTTGATCACAAACTCTTGGCCCTCCTGTCTGGTCATGCGTGGTCTGTATTCAGCATCCACAAAGCCATAGATATAGAAACTTCCAGAGCCACCCACTGCAAACGGTTGTCTGGTAATTAACCCATTAAGGGTCGCATAGACCTGCAAAGAGAAACACAAAGTATGAGGTACATTCACTAAACATCTACTCAGTATTTACTTTTTTTGTTTGTTAAAAATGAATGAAAATCCATTACTGAGAGAGGACATAATATCAGTGTTCTTCCTTATCCAGATTCATATGGCGATCCTACAATCTTATTTGACATTTTTAGCTATTTGATCTTTTTTAATTGAATGGTAAACACACAACTCAAAGAATTTACAGATAAAACAAGACGAATAGAGACGACACAGGGTTTAAATAGGTAAACAAAAACGGAATAAAAATAAAATGGAAGAAATAAAATATAATTAAGACAGTTAAAAGTTTTACTTTTCAGTTAACTGACTAACTCTTTAGCAAAAATATAATTGTATATAGATATTTTATTATCGATATTTTTAAGGGGGTCAATAAACAAAAAATATATCGATAAAAACCTTAAACATGGTTTATTTAGTCCTTATGCTCTTATGAAATTCACCAAATAAAATAAGATTGACCATTAACAGATAAACAAATACATTTTTGGAATCAAAATATTTAAAAACATATTTGCAAGTTATGTCAAATTATGCACAAGTATCTGTTGAATAAAAGTTGAAAAATGAACAAATTTCATCAATGTCCAAAGATTTTGATTATGAGCTATGGGGTCTCATTTGATTGGAAATTAGAGGTCAACCGATATGTTTTTTTTCACGCCGATACCGATCTTTTGAAATCCGGGTTTATTTTGTCCGATGTTTGCCCGATATTTGCTTGGTTTTTAACCTCTATTTGAAAGATAAAATGTAAAAGAAATGATAATTACTTAACATAGACAACTTTCTCAACAAAAACATTTTATCCTCTCAAAAAATGTCCTGAAACATGTATTTTTGTTTTGTTTTGTTTGTTGACGGACAAAGACAAATGGACATAACCTAATTATCACAAAAAAGGAGAAAAAAAACTTAAAATCAGTTAATTTTTTATATATAAGATTTATTATATTTTATTTAATTTAACTTCTAACAATAACGTATTTGACTAGTAAATTGCTGTTGAACGACAAAAACAACCACCAGATGGGAAAATGGGAAAACAAACCCTAGGCTGCCCACAGATGCGCCTGCCTAATAATCGGCTTGATACTTGGATATTGACCGATGCCGATTATGTTAAAAAATGCCAAAAATCGGCCGATTAATCGGTCTACCTCTATTGGAAATTATGGATTAACGTCAAAAAAAAGAATGTCCAGTTACATATTTGTGTATGAATGCTGAGAAATGGTTGAAGATTGACAAAAATGTAGTTCCATAGAATTTGAACTAGTTAATATTAGCACAAAATGGCTGCATCCTAAATCTTAAAAATGCCGCCTTCGGAGTACATTTCAAGGTAGGAAAGCATCAAGGTCCGAATTCACTGTTAGCTGCTTCACTTCTGTCTTCCGAGATACCTTCATCTCGTCGTTTTTTGAAGGTAGCATGCATCCTTTGCTGCCTTTGATCTGCCACAAACCTGAGCTTTTCAATCTGTGACAGTTGAGCTAAAAAATAAAGATGGCATCTGCGGTTGGTGGTCACTTTGTGTGCAAATGTCCATTTCTGACCAACGGTTTCCACTTTTTATGTCATATCAGTGATAAATCATTATAGTACTTTAATATTCTCTAAGTTTTCACCAAAGCTCACTCTATTTTGGAAACAAATTCAAAGGAATGCAAAGATCTGTTGCGTTTATGATAATATGAAGTGGGCCGGTCTGGGCCGAAATGCCAGGGCCGATTTTTTGTCCAAGTCCCGCCCTGGCCTGCATGTAAACATAAATAAACACTTTGTACCTGTCCCCCGTCTTTCTTGTCCCATCCACCCACAATGAGATGAGCAGAAAGTTCCTCTTTGTGTTTGTAAGAGATGTTTTTCACAAGAGTTGCTGCTGAGCACACCAGGGGTTCCTCGTCCACTTCAATGCTGACAAACAGATTTACATAGAAATTTCAGCAATATAAATATGTTGTGTACCTATAAGCGTAATATCTTCTGTATGAAAGTGTTCTTTTTACCTGTGCACATCCAGCTGGTAGTTGACTATCTCAGCAATGGTTTGAGCATCCGCTGCTGATCCAGACAGAGCGCAATAGATCTTGTCATGGAGGGGGGAGAGCTTGTTCATCACACGATTCACCACAGTCTCCCTGGGGGAAACAACAACAAGACGAAGATTAAAGTACAAGACAATACATGAGTATAAAGATCCAGGGATGTATTTTATAAAATAGTAGCAGACTAGCAAGATATCATCACGTCCATCGAGTGGGCTAATCTCACCCTGCAGAAACTCTAGAGTCGGAACCAAGCACTACTCCACCATCGAACTCTATGGCTATTATTGTCGTCTACAGATAGAATACAAGGAAAACTGCGTTAAATATTTAATTATGGGGAAAAAATACAATAGAAAAGCAACATTATTCAGTTTGACGGAATCACTTAGATCGACTTACTCCCATTTTGAGTCCTTTGGACCCGCCATAGTCGCAATTACTCCCTTGCATCGTGTCTGACTGTAAACCGCTTTGGTACAGCTGTATGAACAATTACAAAATATTTTGATACGCGGTTTAATTCTTTAAAAACTGATTAAAATGTGTCGTCAAAAGAGACAACGCACTGAACGCAGCCTACTTTCACTTTCGTGGCGTCACGACGCTGAGCTGCGCTTCTGTGCGCACAAACTGCATCCACGTCCTCATTTACGCCACCTGCTTAGCCTACACTTGTTTGCTTTAAAATAGGCTATCAAAATGTCAAGTCATTTAAATAAGTTGTTTTCTTTCAGCTTTATGTATTTTATATGTATTTAAAAACTTGCCAATAAGAACCGTGAATTGAATTTTTTGAATGTAAAGAATAATACACATTTTGTCCAAAAACAGCATCACTAAAAATAAATTGATCAATAAACTTAATAATATTGAGGAAAATGACAAATTCCTGTATCAAGACCAGAACAAGCCCAAATTAAAGTTTTAATTAAAACAATGACTTAGTTGAAGTTTTTGTATATTAAATAATAAACCAAACACAAGGTGCCTGTTAAAATGAACATTTTCCCCACAAAATGTATGCTGTTAAAAAAAAAAAGAAAAAGAAAGTTTGATGCAACCAGTTTCAGGATCAAGACCTAGGCTATTTGAATTTTCTCAACTTATGAAAAAAAAAAAGAGTAAAATTGATCTGTACTTTTAAGTTTTATAAACTCAAAATACATTTTTGACTTAGATCCACATTCAGTCAGCTTGTATTTTAAGCCAATAAATATTTATATTTTATAATAGTGATAGAACTCTCTGAGTTTTTCCAACTGAAAAAAGTTCAATAGAATTGCTTGTAATTCTTGACTTCCGGTCTAAGGGGTCCATCCATAGGGGTCCATCAATTGTCTGATAACCCATATTCTTCAATCTTATTTTGTGTTTCGCAGAAAAAAGAAACTCATACAGGTTAGAAACAACTTGAGGGTGAGGAAATGACAGAATTTTCATTTTTTTTGGTGAACTGTCCCTTTAAGAGCCTTTGACCATGGATTATTGTAACAGAAGTTGTAACACCAAATTTAACCAATTAGAAATACACTTGGTGACATCCTTACATGTGATGCAGAGTGGTATAGGATATTTGTAATAACTTTTCATTAAGTAAATTTGAGTAACAATTTATATTCAGGTAGGCCTAACTGAAACTGATAGTGTTTTCTATATTTTCTGTTTTTATATAAAATTGTATCTAAAAGTTTTAGGCACAAATAACAAACACTTAAACACAGTAAAATTTTGCTATCTCCTTTATCAATTCTGTACCATGAATTTCTGGTTTTAGTAAAAATGTGAGAGTTCAGATTTTTGTTTTATAAAGCATGTAGAACGTGCTATGAACTGTATCATGATGTACTGAATTATGTGAATAACAGCACATTTAAGCAAATTTAGCTAATAAAATCAAATTGAGCTATTTCGGGAAAAAAATTCCCAGTATTTGGGTTTATTCTACAAAGAATAAATGATTGTATGACAGGCTATAAAACTGTTTGCAAACATGCTCATACTCAAATGAACACAAAAATAATGTTTTTGGCCTTTTTAATGACTGAATAATGTAATGATCAATATTATACACAGAATACACACAAGTGAAAACAACAACAGGTAGAACAACAGGTCCGTCACAGTGACAAGATGCACAACGCCGCCACTCACATTGTCCCTGTCCATAGCTAATGAGAGGGCTGGGGAAAATAATGTATATGTGAATAGGTCTGTGTTACTGAGACAAAAATGCACAATGAAAAAGAAAGTAAGAAAGAGATTAATGGAAAGGGAGTGAGTGTAGCTGTCAAAGTGCATAAAATAAACTCTGCTATTATCCATACCATTAGTTGTGAAAGTGAGACACTCTCCTCTGGTCATTCCAGGCTTGAATTTGGCATCTGCATATCCATAGATATAGGTGCCACCAGACCCACCAATAGTAAACTCCTGCTCCACAATCACACCTGGAACACCTTTGAAAAAATAATAAGTCTCAATATATTTATATTTCATAATTGAAGAACACAATAGATATATGAAATGAAAAATGACATAACAGACCTGAGGGCCCTTCTTGCGATCCCAGCCAGCCACAATAAACCCGGCACTAAGTTCGTCTCGATGGGTATAGCAGAAGCTCCTCATAATGGCGGCAGCAGATTGGACCAAGGGGGGTTCCTCCAATTTGCATGCTAAAACAAATGTATCAACAGCTAGCATTAAATATAAAGTAAGTCATCATTCTATACAGATGATGGTTGAGGTTGATTGCTATGTGATATGGGAATATTTATGCTCTTGAATACATTATTGTGGATAATACTGTCATTGCTGCAAAAGTCAAAGTGATAAATGCTCACCTGTGAAAACTGAGCTGATTAACTCATGAAATTCATGAATGTTGAAGAATAAATGAAGTATTCTATAAAACTATAAAATTGTAGGATAGTTATAGTGAAGATAGTAATCATCATCATCATTAATAATAATAATAATAATAATAATAAAGCCTGAATAAATAAAATTATTTTGTGTTTACCTGGTAAACCATACATTGTAAGCTGAATGGGGCTAAATGTCCCCAGACTCCCCATGACTTTTTTTTGGTCCCCATGAAGAATACAGCTTCTCTGTATGGAAACATCTGATGGAAATAACATAATAAGTTTTCTGTCTTTCTGTATGTAGGGTATATTTGTACATGAAAATCTATCTAATCTATTTCATCTATGGAATATCTCCATAATGAAATATGTGTGTGTACCTAAACATAGAATTAAACTTTGGGCATGTCTGAATCTGAGACATTTGGTAGGATCTTTTTAGTTTCACATACAACCCCAGATCAAATTTGCATCACTCATAAACCTATACTGTGGATTAATACTGAATATAGTTTGTATTTTATAATGATAGTCTGTAATTATATCCCCTCACAGTATGCTGTTATGTGCTATGATATTTTATTAATTGTGTGTGTACATTTTGCTGTCCTGAGTAGTGCTTGTATAGTTAAATTGAGCTTTTGGTTTGGTTGTTTTGGTTATATTCTTTGCTTCCCACCATTGAAAATAAAAATAAAAAGACAAAAAGGTGACGTAACATTTACTATTCAATTTACTACTTAATACTTTTTAATTAAAACAAAATTATAAACTTACAGAATAAATCAGTGAAATATTACATAACCTACCATATTCTCAACCCATACTAAAATTATTACTATACCCTACATTAATAGTTTTATATATATAATAAGCCATATAAAGACAATACAGAAATACAGATAAACCACAAAAATGATTTGGAATCTTTATTGCATGTTCATCATTAAAATTGTCAAACATCAAAGACCCCATATAAGGAAAACAGCAGTTTATTTATCATTAAATTTCGGCAACTTGTCTCCTGGGATTACAACATGCTCGACACCTTTCTCAGAAATGACAGCCAAGTGGGCAACACCCCCACTTACATTGTCTCTTCCCATAGCCAAAGCCAGAGCTGAAAAAAACAAAGATTTTTTATTCAGTGAATGAAAAACTTTTCACTCTGTTTAAAGTATTTAAATTAAAGTATTGTATTGGATATTTTTAAAAGACAGACAGTCAGCATATATTTTGATTATAAAGAGCAGGAAAAATATGCTGAGTGCTTTGAAATGTACAAACCATTGGCAGCAAAAATTTGACACTCCTCTCTGGTCATTCCTGGCTTGTACTTTGCATCTGCGTAACCATATATATATGTGCTTCCTGACCCGCCAATAGTGAAGGGCTGACTCACCAGCATCCCCCCCATAGAAACAGAGTACACCTATATAGAAAGACAGTAAAAACTGCATCATTACAACTTGTTTTGTGCTGTGCAAGGGAAAGTACAACATTAAACACCAAATCCCAATGTTTGCTCACTAAGCCATCACAGAACAATTTTTACATCAATAAATTTTCATAGATTGTCACAGTGAAATAGCTAATCTAGTATAGATCAATGTAGACATATTTGATGTTCAAATACTGTAATAAGCATGACTTTATAGGCATTGTTTGTCATTACAGGTAATAAAATCCCTTATTTTGTATCTTGTATCTTAACCAGTTCTTCCCATCTGCTGTAGAAGTCACAACTAGAATGTGTGCACAAGAATCTGAATTTGTTCAAATACCCATAGTTTGCAGATAGGCCTATCACTCTTTCTGATAGAAACAAAATGGCTTGATTTTTTTTTTTTTAATAAAATGTCTGCATATGACACACACACACCTGTAAGAAATGAAGTGGAGATAATCACAGTTCCACTATGAGTAATGTACCTGTGCCCCTTTTTTCTTGTCCCACCCTGCAGTTATGAAACCAGCCGAGAGCTCTTCTTTGTGCTGATAGCACAGCTCCTGCATAATAGAGGCAGCGGCCATTACCAAAGGAGGTTCATCCATCTGAATACTATATTTCCAGGAGGAAAAGAAAAAAGTTTGATTGAAGAAAAAGGCTATTTTCACTTTAGTAGGCTAACTATTCATTATGAAAAAACTACTAGTGCCACTTTAAAAAAAAATTAAATAAACCACACATTACAAAAAAAAGTTTGTAATCACCTGTGAAAGGCGAGCTGGAATTTGGCTGCACGCGTGATGGCTTGAGCATCAGCAAGTGATCCTGACATGCAGCAAAATATTCTGTCATGAACTTGAACTAGTTTGTTTATTACCTTTGATGAAACATAAGACCTGGACACAAAACAAAATGTGTTATTTATTCATTTCTACTTTTTAGTTAATCTAAAAACATTTATCCACAAATGTCAACGTTTTAATATCACGTGCTTAAAGGGATAGTTCACTTTGAAATTAATTTTTGATATGTTTTAGCTTACCTCAAGGGCATCCAAGATGTTGGTGTCTTTTTTCCACAGTATTTTAAATTCTGATATTTTTAGGTCAAACCATTGTTGTCTGTCAGTCATATAATGGAGGTGTATGGGGTCCACCTCGAAGAACATGCACAGAGAAGTCCAAATTAAACATGATTTAATGACTCGTAAATGTAAGTACACATTGATGGCCTAAGACACGAAACGAGCGGTTTGTGTGAGAAAACAAACAGTATTTATTTCGTTTTTACCTAATCACAGTCACGTCCAAGTACTCTGACGACGAAAGCGCTTCTGTCTGCGCTCGTTTCATTGATACACGTTGCATTGATACACATTGATAACCGCTCGTTTCGTCTATCAGGCCATCTTACATTTATGAGTCATTAAATCATGTTTGATTTGGACTTCTCTCTGCATACTCTTTGAGGTGGACCCCATATACCTCCATTACTGACAGACAAGAACGGTTTGACCTAAAAATATCAAAATTCAAAATACTGTGGAAAAAAGACACCAACATCTTGGATGCCCTTGATGTAAGCTAAAACATATCAAAAATTAATTTCAAAGTGAACTATCCCTTTAAGATAGACCCACTGTCCTTGCATGAGGACATCATTTTATGCAAAAACTACCTGTCCAAAACAAATTCTAGTTATTATACTTAGGTCCTACTTATCCCAAATAGCAAGAAAAATTATAAAATGCACACCAGGCAAACTCTCGGGATCAGGAGGTTAAGATATTAAATGATTCTATTTCTATATAATAGCGTTCGCTGCCATTGGGGTGGAATTGTGGGATACCTGACATAGGCTCTCAACTTACCCACCCATCGAGGCTCGTGAGTCTGAGCCAATAATGACACCTCCAGCGAATTTCACCGCTAATATTGTAGTCTGGAAAAGAAAATGCAATTATAAATAAAGATTTCGGCTTTATGATCGATAACGCAAATCTTGAAGTGAAAATGAACGTCAGGAAAATTGTCTCACCCCAGTGCTGACGCCTTTCACGTGACC